ATCCGAGGAGCTGACTGGGAGCAGCCCAGAGAGCCTCTGGCACCTGAGAGCCCAGTGGAGCTGGGACGGGCACTGCCTCACCCGGGGGCACCAGCCACCAACCCCCGGGAATGTATCCTGCTGCTCTCTAACCCTGCTCCCGCGTGTCATCAATCCTGCAAGAAAACATCCAGAACAAAAGAGTAGAACCCCAGAATGGTTCGGGTTGGAGGGGACCTTAAAGCTCATCTCATTCCTACCCCTCTGAATAATGCTGGATGCTGCTCAGTGCCTGCACTGGGGACAGGCTCAGTTCCTTCAGACCCAGAATGTCTCTTGCCCAACTCTCCCCCTCAGCACCTTCAGGGAGAGGCCACACTGGAGGATGCAGAAACCTGACTCTCAGTGGCCCAAAGTGCCCAGAATTGATTCAACTGGCCATTGTGTGTCCTTGGTAGATTTGGGAATGGGGCCAAGTGATCCTGCTCACCTGGGGGTTCACAGGGCTGTGCTCAGGGCCACAGCCTGGATGGAGCCAAGTCCTGATGGTATTCCTGCTATCCCCAATCACCTGCGGCTCAGGCAGTGACCCTGCTGCAATCGCTGGAGGGACCTGACCCTGGGGGACATCCCTCTGTCCCCATTCCCTCTGGCAGGGTGGAGAGGGGGGCTCAGGAGCCTCTCTGAGGGGTCCCCTCACACACTGCATGGAGCAAGTACTCAGCAGAATGAGCTGGAATGAACAGGGAATGCTGAGTGCTGGATGTTGTCCTGCCAGTGCAAGCTCGTTTGTCTGAGCGTCATCTGGCAGCTCGGGGGGGAAAGAGGCTGATAGAGTCTGAAAAATTCATTGAAATGTTGGGTTCCAGCCAGAGAGAAAACATCGCTGAATGGCAACATTAAAGGAAATTGTCCCATAACATTCCAAGAGCACTTCAGTATTTGTCCTCTTTATTTTAAAGTGTCGAGAATCTTTGGGAAACACTCTGGAATGGGACTTTTATAGATGGTCTAAATTAAACTTCACTTAATATTATAAGCAATAAATCCTCATTGTCAGGTTTTGTTTAGCGGGTATAAAAATGATTGGTGGGAGCTGTAGCTTTCTCTGAGACTGGAAGATCAGTGTTTTCACTGCACAGTCTGTCCCCAGCCTGTGAGACGTGTCCCCAGCCCCAGGCACATCCGCAGCACCTATCCCACAGGTCATCCCCACGCTCTGCTCCTGCAGGAAGATAGACCAAGAGGCTCCCGAACTTCTGGACAGATATGTGTTTTCAGGTGATTCCAGGAACTGGAGCTTTGAGGAAACCGAGAGCTTCTTTAAGGAAGATCCCAGGCAGCCACAGGCTTTGGAAACTCCAAGGGGGCACTGGGAGCTGGGAGCTGGTATTTGAGCTCTGTCACGCAGGTGGGTGCTGGAAGCAGCAGGGAAATTCCCCAGACACCACAGCTCAAGGACACCCTGGGCTCTGGTTCTGGATGGTGAGAAGCAAGTAAAACAAATGAGAGCATTGAAATGGGAGATACTTTTCCAGACTTGAGATTTCTGCACACTGTGGCTTGATTGGAGATATGGAAACATATTAGGTCATTTTTTAATGCAATTTTTTTTAAACTCTGTCAGTATCTCTGGGTTTGGCTACCTGTCCTTTGAGGCCACAGGTCCAAAAACCTGAGCCCCTTTGCCTTGTGAGTAAGCTGATTGCTGTGGTCATGTCCCTGCTGTCCCCAGCTGCCCAGTGATCCTACTGCGGTCCTGCTGGCCCTGGGGGACATCCCTCTGTCCCTTGTCCCATCTGGCAGGATGGAGAGGGGGGCTCAGGAATCTCTCTGAGGGGTCCCTCCTATATGTTGCATGGAGCAAGTGTGGCATGGGCCATAGGGAGAGGAGGGGGCCTCGTTTTTCCAGAGCCCGCCCGGCAGCATCTGCCAGCAGCCTCCAAAATGATAAAACCCAATTTAGTGCCGTTTATGATGGAGAAATCATGTAACAATTACGGGAGATTTACCCCCTTCTATATATTTAGGCTGAAGGTGGCATTTCCAGTGACGTCCCAGCTGTGCCGCCCGGGCCACGCCGCGGCATCGGGGATGCAATTTCAGGAGAGATCTTTAGGTGCAAATTGATTTTGCCATGAATATTTATGCAGCGTGCGAGGCTGCACGTGTGCGGCGGGGGGAAATGTGGGGGTCGGCGTGGGATGCCAGAGCAGCCGCCCGCCCGCCCTCCTTTTGCCTGGAATAATAATTGGAATATTTATAATCTCGCCGTGGCTGCGGTGCTGGCAGGGAGGGGTGTTCCTGGTGCGGCCGGGCGGCCGGGTGGGACGCGGGGCGGCGGCAGGGCTTGCCCTGCGGCTGATTTGGAATGCGCAGAGCATCCCCGCGCCGCGCGGGCCCCGGCAAGAAACCCGGGAAAGACAAGAAAAATGAAGGCAGGCGCAATCTCATTTTCTGAGGGCTGCAAGTCAGCCAGGAAATGGCTATTATTCCATCGACACTGTCGGTATTAAGTTATTTCCTTCACTAAATACGAGAATGTTCATGAATATCTATTGAGTTCCAGGTACTGGCGTCTCCCAGCACTGCCGCTCGCTGATTGTGGCTTTATATTCCTCCGACAACACACCTCAATCTCACATTGAAGTGAAAGACAATAGTATTTTAAATTGGTTAATAAATCTCTAGATTGATGCTCCTGGAAGGCCCAGGAACTTCATCTCTATTACACGAATAAAAGTGATAACATTTTAACCACTGAAGTGCTAGGAATTTGGGAAACTCCTTCCCGATGCCCTTCAGGGCGGCCGCGTCCCCGCACCAGGGATACATGTCAGGGGCAGCTGCTGCGGCGCTGTCTTTGGGGGGAAAGTGGGATTTTTGGAGCAATGAATCCTGTCTGGGCAGGACGAGGCAATTGCACTGTCTTGGCTTCTTTTTCCTTCCTCAAGCCTCCAGTCGGGTCCATATAAGGAGTGGAAAATTCCCTTTTAACACCAAAATGGAAGTGGCTCAGCTCACCAGTGGCCTGCTGGGAGCCTTATTTGGCTCTGGGGATCCCTCTGCACCTCGTCCTGGCCCTGTCACCCTCCCTGTGCCCTTCCCAGGAGACAGGCAGGAAATACTCATGGATACACTAGGCATCATCCCAAGCCTGGAGGGGGCTGACCCCATCCAGCTATTCCATGCAGGTGCCACATGTGCCAGCAGCTGTGGCAGAGACACACACGGCCATGGGATCCTGGGTGGGTGCACTGGCCCCACTGCACCCCCTGGCCTGTTCCCCCACTCCCCCAGGGCTCCTGTGTCCCCCCACCCCGCGCCAGCCGGGGCTGAGCCGCGCCAGAGCTGCTGGTGAAATGTCAGTGGGCAATTTTCCGCTCCTTTCCTCCTCCAGATCTCCTTTTGTTCTTGTGCTGGGAAGCAGAGCGTGATCCCTGCCTGCCCATAGTCCCAGACAGGGTGGTAGGTGCAGGATGTGGCCCCAGTGCCAGGCACACACTGACCAGAACTGCCCCATGCTCGCAGTGTTTGGCACCACTGGTGCCACCACTAAATAGAATTTGGAAGAAATAGAGTCCTTTTACTTCTATGAATTCTTATAAATTATAGGCAGATGAGAATATTTTAATATCAACCAGAGTATTTCAAGTACAAAGAGCTGTTCTGAAAATGTATTGAATATTTTTCCACTGATGTTTAGTGTCTGTAAGATTCCTCGGGGAGTTTACAACAAGTGGAATACTTAAGGATATAGTGCCATAGGTTCTTTCAGTATTTTCTTTTCAAGGAAAGTAACCTCTGAATTATCTAGGAAGTACATGAACAACATGAAAGGAAGATTATGCACAGAAAGAAAAAAATATGCAGAGAATTCAATTATGCAAAAAAAGTGATGTGCTTTGCTTAATTCCCCAAACACACCCCGCGCAGCAGTCACCGCAGCAGCCTCGGTGCATGCAGACGAGGTTTCCAGGTCACCCTCCCTGGCTCTTTCTGATCATTCCATGTTCCCATTGCTCTGTATAGTGGGGTTTACAGGATCAGGGTTCATTTATGTCCCTCTCCTGTGCTGTGCTGGGACGGGAGACCATCAGGACCCTATTCTGGAGAGACTCCTGGTGGGGAAATCCCACCATTTCTGGCGTTCTGGCTCTGGGGATCCAGGGCAGATGGGTCACAGCCCCTGGGATGGGAGGGGAGGCTTTGCTCTAGGTTTATTACTCTGTAGACACAGCAGCCCTGTGGTGGCACAGCTGCTGCTTCCCCAGAGAGGCAACCCACTGGTGCCACATGCTGTGGTGGGGATGAGGGGCACAGGGGAGTGTCCCCTGGGTTGCAGGAGGTGGCTGCAGTGTGGTTCTGTGCCCTGGGACAGGGCTGGACCCTCTCACTGCTGCCCAGCCCTGAAACTTAAAGTTCTGGTTCCAACCCCAAAAAGGTGGGCAGGGCTGTTCCAGCCGGTGTAGGATATGGAGTGCAGGGTGCGGGGTGTAGGGTGCAGGGTGTGGGGTGCAGGGTAGGCTCAGCCCTGAAGAAGGGGGGGCTGAGCTGCCAGAGACCCTGCTGGGTGTGGGGGACACCAGGGAACCAACTCTCTGCTGTAAATTCCTACCCTCTGCTTCCAGGGCTGAGCTGAGCTGACACAGGGGTGTGTTTGTTTATTTATTTATTTATGGCCCCATTAGTTGATACATTTGCATTGAGTCTCGGGGAAAAAAATAAAGTGTCTTCTCCGAATTGAATGACGTGAATTATTCCGACCAAAGTCACTAATTAAGACCTCATTAGCAGCCCAAATTTGTGATAGATCAGCAGTGGACTTGGCACAGTGGTTTAATTTAATGATTTCTTGCATTACTTTGTTAATCATCTTTAGTCTGATTTAATTTATGCCAATGTGACTATCCTAATTTCTAATTAAGGCATTGATGACAGGGACACCACCACCGCCCAAGAATTCCAATCATGGATAATGCAGAAGCAGCTCTGGGTTCTTATTTTTTGAGGGGTGGGTGGGTGTGTGTGGGGCTCCTAACCTACTCCCAGCCCAGCATATGGAGTGCCCACAACCCCACCTTGGACACCACCAGCTCAGGCTGGGATTTTTCCCAGTGTTCCCAGGGCTGAGCTGATCCCAGAGTTCTGCAAAGCTCTGGATCCTGCTGCAAGGTGCCAGTACTCCGGGATTGCTGTTCCATCAGGAAGCATCCGCACGGGCTTGGCCACGGCAAATCAGAGAGTTTGCAGGGAAGAACATCTGCTAATGCAAAACATTTATGCCAGTCGATATAAATTTATTTAGTGCAATAAATGACATAATTGAATTTTTATTTCCTTAATATATTTCCCTAAAATAACAAAGATTTGGAGTGTCCCCGGCCCACAGATGTCTTTCATGGGGACGTATTTCCTGTACTATTATTCTTGTATAAATCTGACGTTTAAACAGTTTAATAAATGAGCAGTTGTTTGACTTGTTTCACTTTCAATACATTCTGGTGGATTAATAAAATGTATTTCAAAAGGAAGCTCGATAGAACATGCTATAAAAATTCGTGATTTATTAACGATACATTTGCTATTAGTTGGGACAGATACTCAAAATGTCATTAAGGTTAAAATAATAATCAATCAAACTAATTAGACCCTATTTTTCATATGCAAATATAATTAAGCATCCATTTCTCAATAACTTTAAAGAGAATTATTGAAGCTGCACAAAGTGTGCTGAGTCCTTACTTGAGCTAATGAAATGGCAGCGCCTTCCCTGCATATGCAAACAAAATTGATTAACCACTTTGTGCTTGGCTTAATAACCCAGGAGGGGCTGGGGGAGCAGGGATGAGGGCTGGGGGTGTCCCTGCCCTGCCCACCCCCCAAATTCCTGCTTTCCACGGAGCTGGGGTCCAGATGGGAAGTGGGATGCTTGTCCTGGTGTGGGTACCACCGGTACCACCGTCTGCAGACCTGCCTCACCGATGTTTGCTGATGTTTTTCACTCTGACTGTTCATTTCCAGGGAAAAACACCATTTTGCTACGAGAAGGGTTAATAAGAGATGTTTATTTATGAACTCGGCATATTACTGTTGCATAATTTGAATACAGTGCTATGAGCTTTTTTTATTGCCTGCTATAATTTCATTTTTAAAGCTTCCCCTATGCCATACTTTACAAATGATATCGCAAACAAGAAATAAATTCTGTTTTGCAGCTGTGCTAACTATATTTACCCATGGGATACACTATTTTGTCCTTGACATAAATCCCCTGGGATTTCTCTCGGAATTACTTCGGCATGCCACATTCCCTGCATCAGGGTATTGTGCACCAAGACTATCACGGGGCTCTGGCAGAGCCGCCGGATCGCTGTGAAAAGAAAGAGGCACTTGTTTAGCATATTACCATGAAAATCAGTCAACTCGCACATTAACGATTGTCAAGAAACCTGGGAGAGGGAAATAAAGGAAATAACTGTGGATTAAACCAGCGAGGATCCCCCAAGCAGTGACAGGAGGGGTTGGGGGGGGCCATGCCCTGCAGCCCAGCACACCCCGAGCATCACCTGCTCCTCCTCCCCTCATCCTATCACCTGGCTGTTGTGCCCATCCCTGGGTCCCCTAAATGTCCTGGGGTCCTCCTTGAGTCCCTGTCCCTCTGCAGCGGTGGGAGGGGCTGGGGGGTGATGGCCTCCCACCCAGCACACCCCCAGCATCACCTACTGCTGCTCCTCCCCTCATCCCACCACCTGGCTGCTGTGTCCTGGGCATCCCACATGTCTCCAGGTCCTCCCCTTGTTCCCAACCCTTGGCAGGGCAGGGGGTCAGTCTGGCTGTGTGTGACACGCTTTGGTTTTAGTCTTTTTCCAGGATTTGCAGCCCCTGGAGGCCTTACCTGCCACTCCCCCATGTGCAAACAGGCAGGTAATGCCCATCGGCGGGTGCGTGAGCCCGGCAGCAGCTCCGGTCCCTGCCAGCTCTGCTCCTCCACAGCCCCAAAGTGCTTAAACCACCTCTGGATATGGATCCTGCTGTTAATTGGGGGCCCAATTTTCTGCAGGTGTCAGGCTTCAGGACATCAGGTTTAATGAAATTCATCCCCCCACCCTCCGCGGCACCGGTGGAGGCGCCGGAGCTGCCAGGAAAGGGGGTCTGTGCCTGGCACACGGCAGGAGCCAGCGGAGCTGACACTGTCAGCAGCTCTCCAGGGACGAGCGTATTTTTGTCGATCATGTAGCATCAGGTTCTCGTGTCACTGCGTTACGGAGCTTGATGGCACTTAATACACCGTGACAAGGTGTAACATCAGAAATGGAACACAAAATGAGATCAAACGGCATTGTGGTCCCTAGAGGGCCCGATCAAATCCGATGGATGGAAATTTGAAGGGGGGAAAAAAATGCAAACTCTCCCCCCTATAGAAACCTTTGGAATCCCATTATCCTGGGCAGCCAAAGCCGGGCTGGGCTCCTGTAGGGAGGAGGATGTGGAACTTGTGGGATGGATGTTTCACCCTGAACATGCAAGCCATGGGACATGCAGACCCCCCAGCGCTGGCCTCACAGTGGGAAGCAGCTCCAGCTCTCTGTTCACACCCTCAGCCCTGTGTGAACAGGGACCCATCCTGGGGTTTGGTATCAAACCACAGTCGTGTCCCCTCCTGCAGGTGAGGAGGGTGACCTCAAGGAGAAGAACCCCAGGACAAGGTCCTGCCCCACTTTGCTGGGTGTCTGCAGGCAGTGGCTGATCCCATGGGCACTGTCCATGGGAGATGTTTCTTGGGAGGGACACAAATGGCAGGTTCTTATCCCACAGGCAGGTTCCTCCAGGAAAGCAGGTCAAGGGCAGAACACCTCAGGGAAGATAAAAAAAAGGACAATTTTTCACATATCTCAGCAATTTTGAGAAGAGGAAAGAAGCCATTTTTCAGCAAAGAAGAGCTCTTTTCATTCGGAAAATGTTAACCAGATGTTCACAAGAAGTACGTCATGGAAAGAATGAATGAGGTCTCTGGTTGGGACTAACCCCCGGCCCCGGGGAGCTGCAGGGCTGTGCCGTGGGGCTGCTGGGGCTGAAACAAAGGCAGATGCACTTGGGAAGGCACCAACTCCCAGTGCCCATGGCTGTGGATTGGAGGGTGTGATTGCAAACACACACTGGTTGGCCTGAAGAAAGGGCTCCCTCATCCCTCCAGGCTCTCAGGCACCCGAGTCCAAGCTCAGCCTCTCCTGAGACTCAGTACATCCCTGTCCATAGCCCCAGGTGTCATTGCCATCCTGGGTTAAAGAGCAGCCTCTTGCTGCTCTCAGGTGCTGCATTTCTCTGTGCTCTGATTGCAGCTCCCATCGAGCAGCTCCCAGAGCCCCATTCCCAGTGCCAGGTCACTACACTGGCTCATGAGCCCTGAGACGCTCAAGGAGATGTCAGAGCCAAGGAAAAACCAGCTGTGATTCAGAATCAGAACCACTAAAGTTTGCAGAGTTTTAGGCAAAACAGTGATGGTATTTGCAGCCCAAAGCACCATGCACCCCGTGGCACTGCCACAGTCACCCACCGTGTCCCCATGTGCTTACGTGTCACTGCCCTGATGCTCTTGGTGCCCCTCTCACTGCTGCCATGGTTCCTGTTCCTGGCACAGGAGCCAGCACACAGCTCCCGCTTTATCTGCTTCCAGGTGAGAGACAGCATGTGCGTGCCTGGTGCCTGCCCTGCACCCAGCTGGGGACCAGAGTACTTGTGTCCCCAAAGCCCTGGGGCACAAACTCCACAGGGCTCGTGCCCTCGTTACCTCCACCAGCTCATGGCCATGTGCTCAGTGGGTGCTGATGACATAATGGACATACCCAACCTGTTGCATTAATACCCCATTTTCCTGTCCCTGCAGCCAGAGAGAGCTGCTGGACCAGGGTCCCAAGCTGGCAGCTCTGCAGGGGTCTCCTCCCAGCTGAGGTCACTGAAGCTCCCACCAGACAGGAGCTCCCGGCTCCAGCTGGTGCTGGGGTTAAACCCAGGGCTGGGGGGTCTCACCTGAGATTAAGGGCAGGTCATGACTTTTTTCCCTACAAATGGCCATTGTCACCACATCAGCAAACACCTGCAGAGGTGTGTGTGTCCCCATCCCTGAGCCGTGTGCCCACAGAGCCAGTGGCAGTTTGAGATCAGGCAGCAGCACCAGAGCCTGTTAGTGGAAATCAGACAGCAAACACAGAGCAGCATGTACTCTAATACTCTGTCTCTTGTATTTTTTTTTAGCAGCAAAACCTAAATCAAATCAGAACAAAAAGCCAAGGAAGCATCTAAACAAGGAGACTCATCACTGCATGGGGTCCTGGAGTGGGGAAATGAGGAGTTTTCAGCCTCTGGCTGCACCCAGGGCCATGAGAATCAGCAAATCATTAATAGGGCTGAACCTCTGCAAGCAGCCAAAGGGAGAAACCTGCCAGAGGCTGCTCCTTTTCTGAGTCCAGCCCTGGTCACATCCCTGCTGGTGGCCACCGGCTCCCCTGACCCCTGCCCACCCCAAAGGGACAGTGGCACCGGCCAGGAGGGGATATTGGGAATGAGCTGAGACACAAACTGGGCAGAGGGGCTGCCAGGTTAATGCTGCAATTAGCAGACTTTGTCTGTTAGTTATGAATAACAATCACAGTTATTTTTTCTTTGGGTGCCTCAGTCTGTCTGTCTCTCCACCCATCTGCGTTCTCACTGTCTCTCTCCTCCTTGGACTGTCTGGAACGTGTTGTTCATAGTAGCTGTAGCTGCCCCATCCCTGGAAGTGTTCAAGACCAGGCTGAAGGGAAGTTGGAGCAATCTGGTCTAGTGGAAGGTGTCCCTGCCCACACCAGGGGTGGAACAAGATGAGATTTAAGGTCTCTTTCAACCCAAACCTCGCTGTGATTCTGTTCTATCCATGTTGGCAGTCCTTGCAGCATCGGCAGAACGGTTCATTAGCACAAATGGGTGATGATGCTGTACCTGATGAACAGTATCTGCAGCAGCTTCTAAGGGTCCTCCATCACCAGGAGCAGGTAACACAGCTTCAGAATGAAGTGAGAGCCCAGGACTGCCCAGGAAGTTCTCATGACCCCGTGCAGGGAAGATCCCTCCAGCCATGCATGGACACATTGGAGCAGGAAGAGTGGTTCAGTCTTCCTCCCTCCAGGCTGCCAGCGTGGCTGTTGGAGCTACTGGTGCCCCCAGTCCCTACTCCAGCATCTCCCAGCCAATCCTCCACAGCCCCCTGCTCCCCTTTCCCTGGGTCACTCCTTGACCCTACACCTGCAGAGGCTGAAGGGGCTCCACAGACAAGCAGCCCAACTGTCACCTCAGGGATGGACCCAAGCAGGAGTGTGGCATCAGGGATCGGCCAGCTCCTGGGACACTCTGCAAGGACAGGAGTCAGCTGTCTTCAGGCAGTTGTCTATTGGCTGCCAGGCTGACGGGCATGGGCACATCCTCAGGGCAGGCACAGCCCTCCCTGTCCTCCAGAGACATCCTTCTGCTGCTGGGCAGGGTCTGCTCCCAAGAGCACCCAGACTCCACCAACACAGCCCTGGGATCGTCTCAGCAGCATTTCTGGGGCCCATTTGCACAAGCTTTAGTAGCAGCAACATCCCCCTGTTCCAGGGCAGGGCAGTGGGCTCACCTGGGGACCCCTCAGCAGACGGTGTGACAGAGCTGCAGCTCCTCCAGGTGAGGGGCAGGGAGATGCTGCCTGCGAGACGGATGGCTGCTGGGGTGGGCTCCCACAGTCATGTGTCTTGATTTCATCACTAATATACACAATTAATAAACTTAATTACACGTAAAATTGCGGCAGCTGAAAAATGAGTGTAATTCCTTCTCCTCCAGCTTTGCACCAAGCCTTTGCTGAGGACAAGGGGTGCAAAGGTGTCATCACAGCCCCCTTTGTCTGCAGTAAACCTCTCCTGTGGGTCTGTGTCTGGGTCTCCAGTGCCAGTGGAGCTGCCTGAAGTGGGATCCAGCCTCAGAAGGGACATTTCTTTGTGTCTGTGATGTGCTGCTTCTGTGCAAAGAGATCAGTCCCTGTGTGCTGGAAGATTAAATGAGTCCGTGATGCAGAACATCACCCTGTGCAGATGGTGCTGATCCCTGACACCCTGCACTGATTCCAGTGGCTTAGGAGAGGACAGGGATGTCTGTTCTGGAGAGGAATGGGTGCACATGGGGACACTGGGGCTCTGCAGGGCGACCCCTGCTCCCTCCGGGTGGGCTGTAGTGGGAAGACAAGAGAGACACACAATTGTGTCACTCGTACCTCACCCAGGTGCGAGCAGCTGATGCCGTGCAGGTGGGAGTGTCAGGATGTGGGGTCCAGAGATCTTCATGGACCAGCACCTCCAGTCACCTCATCCGGAGGAGAAGGGGTTAATGGCTCCCCTCTGCTGCAGCGCTGAAGTTCATTACTTTTGCTAATTGCTTTGGAGACAATGATTCAGCAGCTCATGGAAAATGTATCTCTGGGTAATGGATTAATTGGCCGCCCCTGACCAGTTTGCATCGAGGTGCTGGAAGGGGCTGCACCCCACGCCGAGCTGCCCATGCACCACCCACCACCAGCAGCTGCCGAAAAACGAGATCTCACCGTGTCTGGCTGGTGCCACAGCAGGCTGATCCCAGCCCACGAGGCTGCAGGGACCTGCTGTGGATCTGGAGGCTGTGGTGTGACGAAAACCCCTGGGGTGCCACAACGGGCAGCTGGGCTCATGAGGCAGCAACAAGGCCAGGTGCTGCACAGGTGGCAGCTCAGGTAAAGGTTTTCACTCCTGCCTTGGGCCTCCTTTAATCTTCAAAGAATTAACATGGGTGCGTGTAGAATAATTTCAACACACCCCGTTAATGCCAGTGCCGGTGTCACCAGAGAAGCTTTACTTTCCCAGGTAATGAATGTGGCCATAAGTACTTTGCAACCATATGGTGATTATGTTTAATAAAGGACATTTTCTGTAATTAAACAGTTTTATTAAGGCATTATTAGCCCTTTAAGTTGAAAAATAGCTGAACAGAGGTGTAATAGGGTGCTAGCATCTGTATTGGGTGAGAATATGGAGGGGAAACTCCACCCTTGTGAAGCTCATGCCGGGCTGGGAGCAGGGCCTGCCCCCCTGTCCCCAGGCAGTGGCAGTGCCAGCAGTGTGCCCATAGCCAGCCCTCGCTCCACATGGCCATGGGTCCTCTGCTGCCTGTGGCAGGGCTGTCCCACTGGGCAGTGCTGCATGGCCGGGGGTCCCCGGCACACACCCCCTTGGCAAGTACCATGGCAGAGCTGTGGTCTGGCAGCAAGGTCTCCCTCCATCTGCCTTTGCCCCCTCTCACTGGCACTCATCATCCTCTCAGCCAGAGACTCCCCTGGGAGCAGGACAAGGACAGGGATGAAGCCCTGCAGAGAGCTGCCCGTGCCAGGCTGTGCCCTCCCACTGGAGGAGGGATTGGTGAGGGGCTGAAGGGACCCTGCAGCACCAGCATCACACCTGCTGCAGTTTTGTGGCCGTGAGGAGGTTTGTGTCAGACTCCCCAGCACTTGAGCCAGCACTGACCAGAGGGGAAGGAGCCATGACACTGCTGGGAATGGTTTTTTCTCCATCTGAATTTGTGCGGCCTGTCCTCTAATCATTTGTACGTTATCCATCATCCCCTGCCTCCCCGTCCCTGCTGTCGCACAGCTCCAGGCAATCCATCTTACAGTTAAAAAATTGTCTCTCTTACACAGGGGCTTTCAAACAAGACAAATAGAAAGAATAAGATCTGGTATTGAGATGCTGTGTACAGGCTGAGATACATAAAGCGGCGGGTAAAAGATCCCATCTGATTGTCGGGAGCAGATCTACGGCGCTGTCAGTGCAGCACAGTCCCTCCACAGGGGAACAGGCAGGATTCAGCCCCCACTGAGCAGCAGCATTTCCTCTGAGCCACAGCACTGGGGGTCCAAGCAGGATTCAGCCCCAGCTGAATGGCATCATCTCGTCTGTGCCACAGCTCTGCGGATCTGAGCAGACCCACCAGCCCCAGCACAGGCACCATGCAGCCACCCAGCCATCCTTAGTGTCTTTCCTGAAACCTGAGGGCTAAGTCTAACAGCCTGGCACAGAGCCTAACACAGAGCCTGGCACTGAGCCCTCCTAGTCTGCCGGGACTGACCCCAATGCTGCTGCTGCTGCTGCTGTTGTGATCCTGCCTGGGACACTGTTCACAACTCAGAGATTTGAAACTAAGTTATAGTTGATCCAGGTTGTGTTGGGCAGGAGAGGCAGGAGGGCAGACAGCACCCTGAGCTGAGCACATCAGGAGCCAGGTGGGAACCTGAGCACAGGGGACAGCACAGACCTGACCATTGGGGCAGAACCAGCCTGTTCCTGCTACCTGTAAAGATGCATCTGCCCTGTGATAAACTGTTGCTGCAGTGGCTTAGTGATACCTTACAGGATTTCTCTCCGTCAGAAAGCCAGTCTGATTCCCAAGCTCTTCCTCTTCCCTGGACAGAGCGCTCCAGGCTGGCCAGTGCCACGGGCAGTGATGCCCTTGACACATCAGCTGTGCCGGTGCCCTGTGCCCAAGGCTGATGGGATCTGTGCCATGGCCTGGGTGTGACTCCGTTAGTTATCATATTATTAAAACGCTGATGAGTCCATGATCACCCCAGAGAAGATAAGGGGGCAGGGGGGAGGGTGTGTGCCTGCCAAGCACCCCAAAGATCCAAAGGTTTTGTGCTCAAACACACCTGCTTTAGGCAGGGTGGATAAATACCTGCTCAGAGCATCTCAGTGCCTGTGCACACTCAGGATGCTGAAGAATCAGGGTGAAACGCTCAACATTCCACTTCCAGGGTGGTTCCTGGGGATGTGAGTGCCCAGGGAGCCATATCAGTGCCGGGCTGTGTGGTGCCAGGGGAGTGGGGACGCTGCGGCTCCGTGGTGATGCAGAACCGCGCGTCTCCCTTGCTCCCTAATGAGACAAAATAAATTTACGTGGTGCTGTATCCTCCCCCCCGCTCCCCTTCCCTTCTCTTGCTAAGGCAAAGGCATCTGATCGTAGTTTAGACAACCCCAGCTCTCGCCTGAGCCGCCACGCTCCGAGCTGCCTGCATTTTTATGAGCTGACTTGTTATATGGGGTGGAAGTATGCAAAATATGTCAAGCCCAAGCAGAGATTTGAATCGAAATGATTCTAATTACTTGTAATAATTTTTTGCATTCCAACATAAAACAATGTTAAAAAAAAAATCCATTACAATAGTTAAAAGACAAATCATTTAGCGAGTCCCTCACTTTATCGCTTTATTAGACAATTTCCTTTGCCACATTTGGAACATGCGGCTGGGTGATCGCCCAGGGCTATTCCAGTGCAAGCAGCACTGGCGGAGAGTTCATCCTGTCATTAGTCAAACATCATCACTGCAGGACCAATGCCCTTGTCAAATTAGACACCATCTCCAGGCATCAGCGTGGTACCAAATTGGGAGAAAAATTGGGTTTTCTCTCTCCTCTCCTTCCTTTCTTCATCTCTAAAATAAGCCAGGTTGATTCTTCCTTTGGATGAGCCCCAGCATGGGATGTATGAGCAGGGATGGACCCAATTTATTGTCACTGGTGTGATCCCCAGGGATCCTTTGTATTTGGGAGATGATGTGGGCAATAGGAAGAAATTCTTCACTGTGAGGAAGAAATTCTTCACCTTCCACTAGACCTGCTTACTCCAAGCCCTGTCCAACCTGGTCGTGAATACTTCCAGGGATGGGCAGTCACAGCTTCTCTGGGCAACCTGTGCCAGGGCCTCACCACCCTCTGAGTAAAGAACTTCCCAAAATCAAATCTAAATATCTCTCCTTTTAGTTTAAAACCACTCCCCCTTGTCCTATCACTACTCTCCCATGCAGAAAGCCACCCTCCATCTTTTTTATAAGCCCCTTTATGCACCGGAATGCCACGGTGCACAGAAAACTGCAGGCAGGACCATCGTGCCCCGCACCCTGCCCGTGCCCACACCCTGTCCACACCTTCCTGGGGGCTGGCACCCTCCCTGCCCCCCGGGAGCTGCTCGGTGGATGTGATTCCACTGCCCTGCTGGAAGGTGCTGGGCAGGACGCCCTGGCCCGGCGGGTTTGGCCCCATCCCGGTGGGGACGGGGCTGTCGCCGGGCCGCGCTGCGGGGACGGTGAGGAGGGAGCGTCAGCGCGTGTCAGCGCAGCCACCCCGGCCCTGCCTTTGGACAGATTAAGCAAGTTGCTCATTGCCTGTGACATAATTTAGATGAATGGGGTGGGTAATCCA